CCTCCCTTTGCTGCATCTCTGCAGGAAGCAGGAAGCAGGAAGGGCAGGAGAGAGCTAGCTAGCCCAGCTAGGCTGACTCAGGAATTCTGGGAGTTGAAGTCCATGAGTCATAAAAGAGACGAGGTTGCTTATTGGACAACAGCTTGAAGCTTGCCAGGTGAGCAGCAGATAGGAGGGGGGGGGAGAAAGAGAGAGAGAGAGAAAGAGAGAGAGAGGGAGGGAGAGAGAGAGGAAAGAGAGAGAGAGAGAGAGAGAAAGAAAGAGAGCGGGGGAAGAGGAGTGGCAGACCAAGGGCAGATAGAGAGGGAGGGACAGAGAGACAGAGAGAGAGAGAGACCCTTTTGACATCTAAAATGAAGATAACACTGCATATATCCTTTTTTTACGTGTGTGTGTGTGTGTGTATACACATACATATATACATATACATATACATATATACACACACACACATACATACACACACACACCTATAATAAAGATAAAAAAGGATATATGCAGTGTTATCTTCATTTTAAATATCAAAAGGGTTTTGCGGCTCCCAGTGTTTTGTTTTTGGTGGGAAACGGGTCCAAGTGGCTCTTTAAGTGTTTTGGGTTGCCTACCCCTGAACTAGACATACCCAATTCCAGCAACCGTTCCTTATATGTTTTAGCCTCCAGTCCCCTAATCATCTTTGTTGCTCTTCTCTGTACTCTTTCTAGAGTCTCAACATCTTTTTTACATCGTGGTGACCAAAACTGGATGCAGTATTCCAGGTGTGGCCTTACCAAGGCATTGAAGAGTGGTATTAATACTTCGCGTGATCTTGATTCTATCCCTCTGTTAATGCAGTTAATGCAGTCTCAGGAACCAATACCTGTGAAGCTTCCTCAACCTCCTTTTCTATACGTTTATATGTTGGACAAGTTGTCTTCTGGTCTTTCATCTCTTGTAGAACTTCCTTGAGCTTCTTCTGTTGATCTTTTTCTTTACAATTATATGTTGCACAGGTTATCTTCTGCTCCTCCATCTCTACTTGTTGAGGCCTCCCATTTTTAATTAATATAGGCTCTTCAGACTGCAGTTCTGGCATTAAAGGTTGCTCCAAAGAATTTATAAATCCTACTTCTCCCACAAATTCAGGAACCAATACTTGTGGAACTTCCTTAAACTTCTTCTGTTGATCCTTGTCTTTACAATTATATGTTGCACAGGTTGTCTTCTGCTCCTCCATCTCTACTTGTTGAGGCCCCTCAAACTGAAGTTTCCCAATTTTCATAGTTCTAAGCACTTCTGGCTGCAATTCTGCCTTTTTTTCTTCTAAAGCTTTAAACATGATAGGTGACGATGAGCATACCCCCAGGACCGAAGTATAAAAATCTTTTGCTTTAGAAACAGTATTAAGACTATAACGTATCCCCAGGTAGCTCACCACCATTCCAGTCGGAACATCCCATCTAAACAAAATTTGTCTCTTTTTAAGTTCATCTGCTAAAAAAGCAAACTCCTTTCTTCTTCTTAAAATTTTTGGTGGGATCTCCTTTAAAATTATAACATCTTGTGAAGCAATTTGAAACCTCTTCTTATAAAAGGCTTGTATAATTTCATTGCGCAGGGATCTTTTCCCAAAGTAAATTACCACATCTCTTGGCAAATTCTTTTGCTCTGCCACCACAGAATTAACTCTAAATGTCTGATCAATTCCACTAAGTATTTCCTCTTCTTCTCTATTCAGAATCACAGCAAAGTCCTTTGCCACCATCTCTCTCAAATCTCCTTGCACAGACTCATGTAAATCTCTGATTCTTAAGGCATATTCCATTTGTTTATATTGAAGCATAAGAATCTCATCTTGAAAGTTTTTCATCTCTTTTTCCATACTTTCAAATTTTCCCTCCATCAGTTCCACTTTTTTAACTACCTCTTCTACGCGAGAGTTCAACTTTTCAAGAACAGAGGCAACTCCTTTTAAAGTTAAAACTATCTCTTGCCTCAAAGTCTTGTTATTTTCCTCTAAAATCTCTTTCATTTCTCCCCTAATTTGAAGTATAACATCTCCCATCATATCTTGCAAGTCCTTCACCATTATTGACTGTGGCAAGGAAGAAGGTGAAACTATTAATTTAGGTTGTTGCCCTGATGATAACACCGAAGAAGAAGCCACCTTGGAAGCTGTAGAGATTACTGGACGCTTTGGAGCCATCTTAAAAAAACTTTACTCCTTCTTAAAAATTGCAAGAATTAAGCAAAAAAAAATATGAAATTAACTCCCTAAATTCAAAAAAAAAAATCCTTCAAGAGGGATCATTATTAAAAAGAAAGGGGTTCAGAAAAAAAAAGAAAAAAGGAGAAGAAAAAAATAATTAAATAGAAAAAATCCGTTCCGTTTTTTAAAAAGTACCGAAAAATACAAAACACAAAACACAAAAATTAAACAAAAATAATAATACTAACACTCCATTACAATCATAAAAAAACAAAAAAGAAAGAAGGAAAGGGAAAAAAAGAAACACCAAAAAGCCTGCCGGTCACCATTCTAGCTTCCGGAAAAAAAAACACCGAGAGGCTTGCCGATCGCCATTTTACTTTCCCTTTCAACAAAGAGAAAAAAAAATAAAAAGAGGGAGTATAAAAGTAAAAACAAGTCTTGAAACTTGAAATCCAAATAAATCAAAGAAAGCAAAAACTAAATCCTCTATTCAGCTCTGTCCGTTTATAAAAAAAACCTCACCAGTTCTCTTTAATCACGGAGGTGGTTGCAGCGGCTCGTTTTGTCCCTAAGGACAAAAGCAGCTGGGAAGCGGAGACAGTCTGAACTCCGTGGGAGCACTCTTTTCACCCCCCAAAAGAAAAACTTGGGGGTGCATAAGAGGCTCTACCACTATTCAGACAACTCTCTGCCCCCCCCTTTGCCCGGGAGGGGGTTTTGAACCGCTGAACAGCTGATGTCTGCTGTTCATAGCGGTTCTTACACTTACCCAGGAGGACGGCTACAAAGTAGCCGCCATCGCGCGTGCAAAATCCACCAGAAGTCCATGACTATATATTTTTATGATTAATTATAATGTTATACTCTATAGACTAACATTTTACTGTTTTCAACTGTATTGCTTTCTTTTTATTTCTGTACTGACTGTTCTGCATGAATAAAACCAGAGACATCCGGGTGCAAACATTGAAGGGAATGTGTGTCAAAACAGTAAAATACAAGCTCCAAAACGGGGTAAAATACAAAGACAAAGCAAAGCTAGACAAGAAAATAAATGTGTATAAAAAGAAAAATACACATATGTTGCCTCCCCTAGTTGAATACTGATAAATGTATTTCAAGAATATCCCAAAGGTGCTTTTTCAAGAGGCAAGTGAACTTTCTTGTTATTCTTTGAAGATATTTCACTTCTCATCTGTTGTGTCCTGAATCTGCAAAGGCAGGCTCGGGACGTTGCAATGGTCCCGGGCAGTTGCAAGCTGCCCAGGACCAGACTGGCTGGCGCCGGCGCTCGCACACATGTGCGAGGTGCGCAGCATGCCTAAATGTTGCCTTTTGGCCCGGGGATTGTCTTTAAGAGTGACTGAGAGGCTTGTGTGCCTCAGTGTTGTAACGGGGCTACAGAACAACAATAAAGAGGCTCCTGAAACTAGGAGATGCTTCGTGAGTTATTGCCATTAGCTGAGGACTCAACACTGGCGACGAAGGTAGGATGCCTTACAATTAATTGAAGAAATTGTAAGCTTACCCTGGAGTCCTGAAGCAGCAAGGAAACGGCGTTAAACTCAGCAACTGCCTGCCAATACAGCGTCGTTGGAGGTAAGCTGGCTGATAGACCCTTCCTGTACTACTGCAAAAATGACAAAGATAGGAAGACTTTCTGAGTTTGATGTTATGCATCCAGAAAGATGGGAGTCTTATGTGGCCAGAGTAGAAAATTATTTCAGAGTAAATCAAGTGAGAGAAAATGGCTTAAAGGCCACCACCCTGCTGTGTGTTTGTGGTCAAGATGCATTTGAAATTGATGAAAATTTAGCAGCCCCTGCACCTCTTAAATCTGTTACATACACAGATTTAAAGAAATTACTAAAAGAACATTTTCAGCCCAAGTTGTCTGTTATGGAGACATACTTTTGAACAGAGGGATCAACGGGCTGGTGAATCAGCTAAAGAGCACATTGCTGCATTGAGAAGAGCAGCTAAGCCTTGAGTTTAAAGACTTAGAAAAAAGGCTGAGAGACAGATTTGTATGTGAGCTGAGAAACAGAGACTTGCAGCAGAGACTTTTTGCTAAAGAAGAATTATCGTTCCAAGATGCCTTGAGAGAGGTTACCGCAGAAGAGGCAGCAGGTGGGGCAATCAAGAATATGAGGCCTATCAGAAGTACTCCAGAAGCTGTTTCTGTGCAGCATGAAGGAGTCCAAGGGAGCTCGGAAGAGGACCCTGATGAAGAAGTAGATCATCTCTACCCAACCAAAGAAGGGAAGCAGAAGTAAGGCAAAGAAAAGTATTCAGCTGTTCCCAAGTACTTCGGGTGTGGAGGTCGCCACAAGAGGACCGACTGCAGGTTTTGTTCTGCAATCTTTAGAGCATGTGGAAAGCAAGGCCACATTGCAGCTGTGTGTCTGGGCTGTCAGAAGGTACAACCCGAGAAGAATTGCGCCTGAAAGGTACCAGGGTCCCCAGCCAAAACAGGGTGGGTTTCTGTGCTTCACAAAGAAGCATTTATAGGACAGACACACACGAGCCACTCAAGAAGAAACTGTTACTTAAAGTGAAGTTGCAAGGAGTTCCATTGGTCATGGAATTAGACACTGGGTCTGCACTTTCAATCATTTCCATTCATACATTCAGAAAGATTTGTTCTGGTAGTGGGTTCCAGGCCAAGCTTAGGCCTTCTAATATAGTGCTAACAGACTTTCAAAACTCCAAAGTGTGTGTTAAGGGGGAGGCCACCCTTAACGTACAGTGTAAGGATTTTGAAGGTCCATTAGATGTATTGATAGTGGGGAGTGAGCGCACGAGTCTCATAGGACTCGATTGGTTTGAGGCCTTGGGAATACAAGTTACAGGGCTCAATAGTTTGCAAACAGTAGGTCTACAAGAAGTCTGCAAAGAATTTGAAGATGTTTTCAGCCCACAGCTGGGTACATATAAAGGGCCCCCAGTTTCCTTAAAATTGGACCCCACTGTCACTCCTATCAGAGTAAAAGCAAGGAGAGTACCTTTCGCTTTAAAAGGGAAAATTGATGCTGAATTGGACAAATTGATTCAGCAAGGAGTCTTAGAACCTGTTGACTCCAGTCCTTGGGAAACTCCCATAGTCACGCCTCTTAAGGCTAATGGGGACATTCACATCTGTGCAGATTACAAATGCACTCTAAATAAGGCATTGCAACAACATGCCTATCCTGTACCTGTAGTCAGCCATATTCTGGCCTCCCTCAAGGGGGGGCGTGTTTTTGCAAAGCTTGACTTAGCACAGGCTTATCAACAGTTGCCTGTTGATGCTGGCTTATCAATTGCGAAAGAAACAGAAGCAGAGAACTATAGATAAAATAAATTATAATGGTAAACTGGTATATCAGAAGGAATTGATTAAGAAATCTTTTTTAGATTATTATACAAAATTATATATGGGTAGGAAAGTACAGGTTTCAGATATAGATAAATATTTGCAAGATGCTTATTTTCCTAAGTTAACAGAAGATCAGAAACAAGAAATTAATGGATTGATTACTATAGAGAAAATTGCAACAGCAATTAAAGAATTAAAAGTAGGTAAAGCACCGGGTACTGATGGATTGACATCAATTTATTATAAGACTTTGATAGATGAGTTGATAGAACCTTTAAGGGAACTTTTTAATAATATATTACAGGGTTTAGAGACCCCCTTGTCTTGGGGTAGAGCTTTTATATCCTTGATCCCAAAAGAAGACCAAGATCTTACTCTACCAAAAAATTATAGACCTATATCTCTTTTGAATGTAGATTATAAGATTTTTTCGAAAATTTTAGCTAATAGACTTATGATTGTGTTGAATCAACTAATACATATGGATCAAACTGGCTTTATAACTGGAAGGTACATGAAAAATAATGTTAGACAAATTATTAACTTAATAGAATATTTGGATAAGAACAACCAAATCTCTGCAGGATTGATATTTTTAGATGCTGAAAAAGCTTTTGATCAGTTAAATTGGCAATTTATGTTAAGATTGGTCGAGGAAATGAACTTTGGAGATAAAATTTTACAGGCTCTTCGAGCCATTTATCAAAAATAAACGGCACAACTTATAGTTAATGGAGGTTTATCAGAGGTATTTCCAATTGAAAAGGGGACCAGACAGGGTTGTCCATTGTCGCCATTGCTGTTTGTTTTAACCTTGGAAATTTTGCTGATCAAAATTTGGGAATCATCGAAAATAAAAGGAATAGAAATTAATAAAAAAGAATATAAATTAAGGGCTTTTGCAGATGATCTGGTTGTTACTTTATCTCAACCAATTCACTCTGTAATGGAGTTGTTACAATTGATAAATCGGTATGGACAAGTTTCAGGTTTCAAAATGAATAACAATAAGACTAAAATATTGCCTAAAAACATGACCAACTTGGATAAGGAGACTTTGGTTAGATTGACAGGTTTCGAGATTGTTAATAAGGTAAAATATTTGGGGGTTATTTTATCTGCTTCCAATGCAAAACTGTATAAAAATAATTATGAAAGGCTGTGGGTTAAAATACAAAAGGATTTGGACAATTGGAAAAAGCTGCAATTGTCCCTATTGGGGAGAATAGCAGCGATTAAAATGAATGTTTTGCCAAAGTTTCTTTTTTTATTTCAAATGATACCTATTCTAAAGAAAGAAGCAAATTTAGATGAATGGCAGAAAGGTATCAATAAATTTATCTGGGCAGGGAAAAAACCAAGAGTAAAACTTAAAATTATACAAGATATACGAGAGAGAGGTGGACTCAAGGTACCGAATCTGAAATTGTATTATGATGCTGTGGTTTTAACATTAATTAGTGATTGGGTTAACCTAACAAATGTAGATATACTCCTTTTGGAGGGGTGGGATTTACTTTTTGGATGGCATGCCTGTTTAATTTATAATAAAAAGGTTGATAGGGTTTTTAAGTCTCATATTTTAAGAACTTCTTTACTTCGGGTTTGGAAGAAATATTATAGAATTGATTCAAGAATTCCATTATGGGCTATTCCATGGCATGCAATAGAAGGAATAAGGAGAGGAGTTAAGATGGATAGTATTTCTTATACACAATTACTTAAGTGGGTTGGTAAAAATTGGCAATTAAAATCTATGGATGAATTAGTACAAGAAAATATTATTTATTCATGGTTTCAGTATAGACAATTATTGGAAAGGTGGAAGATAGATTATAATGTGGGCTTGCTTAGAGAGGATGAGAATTTGTTAAAACAAATTAGAGATCAAAGCCAGACCCATATTAAAAGAATTTATGGTGTGTTAGTGGAATTGGATTCAGAAGCAGAATTAGTTAAAGATTGTATGGTTAAATGGGCTCAAAATTTTGATGAACCAATTTCATTAGATATATGGGAGACTATTTCGGTGAGGAATGTTAAATTTACACAAGCCCAAAATTTACGGGAAAATTTCTATAAAATGTTTTATAGATGGCACCTTGATCCACAAAAAATGTCTCGTATGTATTCAAACTTGCAGCCTAAATGTTGGAGATGTGGTTGCTTGGATGCCACTTATTATCATATCTGGTGGTCATGTAAAAGCATAAAAGCTTTTTGGATTAAGATATGGTGGAATATACAAAGAATTTTCAAAAGAAGGATAAAATTTACTCCACAATTGTTTTTGTTGGGTATTGTCTCTGATTGTGACAACAAAGAAATTATTTTAATGTTAAACTTAATTACAGCGGCAAGGTTGTTAATAGGACAGTATTGGAAGAAGGAATTTTTGCCTACTTTGCAGGAATGGTTTCTTAAAGTTTCTTATTTATCTGAAATGGCAAAAATTTCGGCTTTTTTGAAAGATCAATCGCAAGAGAAGTATCTCTTGGTGTGGAAAAGATGGATAAATTTTATACAATATAGGTATGATATTAGAAAATATTATTTAGCTTTTGAATAATTTATATTTAAAGTTTAAGATATTATTTAGAAGTGTAGAATAGTTGAGTTTTTCTCCTTTTTTTCCTATTATTATTTTTTTTATTTTCTTTCTTTTCTTCTTTTTCTTTTTCTGTTTTTTCTTATATATAATGGAGTTAATGTATTTAACAATTTGTTCATTGAATATAATCATATTTGTTTGTGGTTTATTTGAGTTTATAAGCTTTTTCTCTTAAGTTTTAGTTAACTCTGTATCTAGCTCTGGGAAGAATGGGGGAGGGTTTTGGGAAGGGTTGGGAGGGATTGGGAAAGGGGTTTTTATTGTAAAATTGTAAAAATTATAATAATAATAAAAAACAGTTGCCTGTTGATGAAGCTGCTGCTGTAGCACAAACCATTGTAACACACAGGGGGGCATTCAAAGTCAAAAGGCTACAGTTTGGAGTAAATGTGGCTCCTGGAATTTTCCAAAGCGTAATGGAAAATACATTAAGGGGTATTCCAGGGGTTTGCCCCTATTTTGATGATGTCTTAATTGCTGGAGATTCCACTCAAAATTTAGCTGAGAGATTGAGGGCTGTCCTGCTGCAGTTCCGGAAAACGGGCCTCAAACTCAAAAAGGACAAATGTAAAATTGGAGTGCCTTCTACAGATTTTCTGGGATTCAAAATTGATGCCAATGGGATTCATCCTGCTGAGTCCAAGTTAAAAGCTATCATGCAAGCTCCTAGGTCTAAGTCCAAAGCTGAACTACAAGCTTTCCTGGGCCTCTTGAATTTCTATAATTCATTCATTCCTAACAAGGCTAATGTAGCTGAACCACTTCATAGGCTTCTGGAAAACAGGCAGTGTGGCAGTGGTCACAAGCACATGAAGCAAGCTTCAATGAGGTTAAGGCCTTACTCACATCCAACAATGTGCTTGCACATTTTAATGAAACTCTCCCTGTGTGCATCGCTTGTGATGCTTCTCCTTATGGGGTGGGAGCAGTACTCAGCCACCTTAGACCGGATGGAACTCAGGTTCCTGTTGTGTATTACTCCAGAACCTTGTCTTCTGCTGAACGAAACTACACCCAGATAGACAGGGAGGCCTTAGCTGTTGTTGCTGGAATTAAAAAATTCCATGATTTTTTATATGGCAGACATTTCACGGTCTACACTGACCATAAGCCTTTGTTGGGGTTGTTTACCACAAACAAACAAACTCCCCATATCATCTCCCCCAGGATGCTGAGATGGTCAATCTTTCTGTCAGCCTATGACTTTTCTTTAATTCACAGACCTGGCAAAGAAATGGGCCATGCTGATGGCCTCAGTAGATTACCCTTGCAAGTAGTAGAGGCTGATCCTGCCCCTGCCATCAACATCCTTTCCATTCAGGCGCTGCCTGAGTCACCTTTAAATACCAGGGATGTGGCTGCTGAATCAGCCACAGATCTCTCACTCTCTCGTGTCTTATCCTGGGTTTTGTCTGGATGGCCAGAGAGTTGTCCAGGCACTGAGTTTCAGAGTTTCTGGCTTAAGAGGAACGAGTTATCCACTTTTCAGGGTTGTCTGCTGTGGGGCAGCAGAGTTGTCATTCCTACCTCAATGAGGTCTAGGGTCTTAGGCTCCCTTCATAAGGGTCATCCTGGCATTGTACGAATGAAGGTGCTTGTGCGCAGCCATTTGTGGTGGCCTGGGTTAGACAAGGAAATTGAGGCTAAGGTGCCCGCATGGCACCTTTGTCAACGTTCTCGCCCAGAAATCCCCCAGGCTCCTGTGCATAGATGGGAGGAAACACAGTCTCCATGGTCTAGGGTGCACATCGATTACGCTGGGCCCTTTCAGGGTCAATTCTTCTTGGTCCTGGTTGATAGCTATTCAAAATGGCTTGAGGTTGTACCTGTCTCTTCCACCACCACTGCAAAGACCATTCAAGTACTGAGGGGGATTTTTGCTGCACATGGGCTTCTGGATGTTTTGGTGTCTGACAATGGCCCTCAATTCACTTCTTCCGAATTCCAAGCTTTCTTACAGGCCAACATGATTCGTCATGCCACCTCTGCGCCTTTCCATCCTTCCACCAACGGTATGGCTGAACGGATGGTCCGTATCACCAAGGATGCTTTAAAGAAACTGACCTATGGGGACTGGCACCACAGGTTGGCTGATTTTCTTCTTGCTTACTGCACCACACCTTCAACTTCTATGGGGAGAAGCCCAGCTGAACTTCGCTGGGGGTGCAAACTGACTACTAAACTTGACCGGTTGCATCCGGACAGACTGCCTTCTAAGTTTACACAACCCAGGGCACCGAGGCAATTGCTAGTGGGTGCCCTGGTATGGACCCATAACTACGGGCCAGGTCACTTGTGGGTTCCTGCTGTAGTATGCAAGGTTACAGGTCCCTTGTCATAGGAGGTCTCCTTGGATGACGGTCGTATCCTGCAACAGCATATCGACCAGCTGCATACAAGACTTGACTTACCTTCAGAGACTCATGGTTCTTTTCCAGGGGGGAGGGGGAACTCTACGGGAAAAGGGAGGGGTGTTGGAAGCAGCCAGGCACCAACAGAGAGGCCACAGATGGCCTATCACAAGATTCCACGAGTGTTCTGAACAGGAATTCGTGGGAACCAGCTAGCACACAGGCACCAGTGCCTACTCCAGCCAGGGAGTCACCCCGGGGGCATAATCATTATCCACTAACACCATTCAGCACTCCAGTCAGGGAGAATAACCGGGAGCATCCTAATAACTCACACATTGCAAGAGAGCTGGCACACAATCAGTCTAGTTGGCCCAGCACTGCTACTGCATCCAGAAGGAGACATTCACATAGGGAGGTGGTCGGAAGGGCAAATCCCAATTCTGACATCTCCGGCATAGTTGAGGGAGCAACTGAGTTTTGGGACAGTACTGAAACCCCAGACAGTCCTACTATGGAACTGGGGAGTGGAAGAAGGCAGCCTCATGAGAGGTCCAATATGGGCCAGGAAGGCTCTACAGATTTGCCCATCAGTGGCAGTCTTCTAGAGGGGCCAGAGAGCCTGCAACTAGGCAGGTCAACCAGGTTATGGAGAGAACAAAGTCCTGGTCTGACGAGCCCGGTGGGCAAGCAAGCAGACCAGGCAATGGGGCATGGTCCATGGGGACCACCATAGTCCGAGAAAGGGGGCGAATCCATATCATCCCCTGGGCAAAATGTAATTGGAGATTATCAGGGCCTAAGAAGATCACAGAGAGCTAAGAGATCTCCTAAGTACCTTGAAGATTTTGTAACTCTGCTGGCAAAGCAGAAACAGTAAGAGGGTGTTTCTGTGGAAAATTGGAAATATGGGCACTGGGGAATTAATCTCTAGACAATAGCCCGGCACCATTGGAGCAAGGGGTGGCACACCACGCTCGTGTTGAGGTCGCGTGTAACTATTCATGTAGTTGTAGTCTTAGCCGGGGGGAAGGGGTGTTGTGTCCTGAGCCTGCAAAGGCAGGCTCGGGACGTTACAACAGTCCCGGGCAGTTGCAAGCTGCCTGGGACCAGACTGGCTGGCACCAGCGCTCACGCACATGTGCGAGGTGCGCCACATGCCTAAATGTTGCCTTTTGGCCCGGGGATTGTCTTTAAGAGTGACTGAGAGGCTTGTGTGCCTCGGTGTTGTAACGGGGCTACAGAACAACAATAAAGAGGCTCCTGAAACTACGAGATGCTTCGTGAGTTATTGCCATTAGCTGAGGACTCAACATCATCCAAGAAGGTTCTTCAGCTCTATAACCATTGCATGAGCTTCTTGGATGAGAGGCAAAACATCTTCAAGAAAAAACAAAGAAAGTCCTGTTACCTCTTGAAAAAGCATCTTTGGGACAAACATGACCTGGATGACTGAGAATCTCCATAGGTAACTATTTCAAGAATAATAGTTCCTCCCGCCCCCCTTGTAAAACAGGCATATAGTTTATGAACTTCTACAACACTGTTTACCCAACCCATTTGACCTGATGTCTATCTACTATATCTACATAAGTCTCTGTTATGATATCCCCACAGCATTTGTTGTTCCAAAGAAACTACCTACAAGTTGAAAGTCTCTTAACATTTGTCTTCCAGTTAGACATAATAAATCCATTCCCCATACTCCACCAATCTTCTTTAAAAAAAATCCAATTCATTACTTATCAGTTCTGTCAACTTTAAGTCTTTAGAAACCATGGCCCTTTCAGCCTTCTCCAACCAGCCTCTAATTTTCAGACTAGACTCTTTCTCCTTCAAATCTGCCAGCAACAAATTACATTTCAATTCATCTGATATTAAGTCTGCTTTACCTGCAGTTACTCATACCTGAAAAACATGGGTTGATTTAAACCAGGGGTATTCAAACTCGCAAGTCACATGAAGTGTCGTGATGTATTGTGACTTTTTTTCCATTGCTGGCAATGGGATGGGCGCAGTTTCGGCATGGTGCATCCAGCCCACAGGCCGGCAGTTTGATACTCCTGTTTTAAACCATTGTTATTTTACCAAACTTTTAATCTAAATTTTCTATTTGAATTTGTAAGTTAAAAAACATTTTTTTTCAAAAGCTTTCCAAAGGTCTTATTCTTAAGTTGATGCATTGTTTGTATTTTAAATATATCGGAGACACTTCTGTAACTGAGCTTTTAGAGTCAGACACAAACAGTTCCTCTCAAGGACAAGGAGATCAAAATATAGCAAAATAGCCTCAGAGGACATTGAGATAATCTTTCCCATGATAAAAATATATGGAGGAAAAAGGAAATTTTCTATCAATGATTAAAAAAAATAAGACCAGAGCTTTTAAAAATGAATAAAATTCAAAATCCCTATAATGAAAATGCGATATAAATGTAAAACATATCAGATAACTTTCAATGCCCAAGAAATTGCTATTGACTTCCATACAGAGAAAGCGAAAATGATTTGCATAATTAGGCAATAAAACATTAAAAAATCAGCTTAACATTCAGCAAGCGGTTAGAATAAATCAGCATTCAACCAATCAATTAACCTTTAAAAGTAAAAAATTAAAGTAAAAAACTAAATGTCAAAATGTGAAGTTAAAACTGAGGTGTGCTTGAAACAAACAAACAGCTGAAAGGAAAAGATAGAGACTCACACTCGTGTTGTGTGATTGGTGCAAGTGTAAATCTTTCAGTGGGAAATTATAGGTTTACAGCTGTTTCAGGAACAAGAATTTAAGAATGTACTTGTGTGTATGTGTGCATGCACAGGCATGCCTGCATCAAATGCTGTAAACACCAATTTCTTTATACCCGTCTCTTTCCCTGTGCTCCACAGAGATTATTTCTGATAACTCTTAATGTATTTTTGCTGACATCAGGACTAGAATAACCCAGGCTCATTGAAAGAGCCATGTCTTCAGGCCTCCCAGAAAAGTACAGCATCAAAGTAAGGGCCAATCTTATCTCTGGCAGAATGATATTCTAAAGGGAGAGAGAGCCACTACAGAGAAGGCCCTTTTTCTGGGTCCCACTAGATGTACTTCGCTAATAGATAGAACCAGGGCTTTTTTTTTCATAGAACGCCCAGAACGGAGTTCCGGCACCTTTTTTGGATGGATCCTTGTAGGGTAGGCAAGGCGGGTTGTATGACGTGTGTGAATTCCGGCACCTTTTTTTAAAAAAAAAATAAGCACTGGATAGGACCCATAACAGACCTTGCCATCCCATTCTAGTAGGCCAGGTAGATGAAACTGGGGAGAGGCCACCTCTTAAATCACCTGGACCCACGCCATGTAGGGCTTTAAAGGTGAAAAAAAAATCTTAAATTACACCCAGAACCAAATTGATAGCCATTGTGGCTCTGGCAAAAGAAGTGACAAATGTGCAACTCTTCATTTGTATAAAAATATGAGACCACTGCGTTTTAGACTAAATGAAGTTTCTGGATACTGTTCATGGGCCATATACAGCACATATACAGCACATCAAGGAGTTCAAATGACAGGTGATAAGGATGTTGCTAATTGTGAGAAGAGCACATTAGTCCAGGAAAGGCTATAACTGCCATATTACTTCCAGTTCTGCAAAGCCTCTCCTGATTATGGCTGCCACCTGCTCCACAAACAGGAGTTGAAAGTCCAGGAGGACCTCCAGAATAGGCACCGGGTCTGTCTCAACAGTATAACCCAAAGATGGTGTCAAGTTCCAAAACCTAAGGAATACATGTTGAGATTCTTCTGAATAGTTTCTTTTATTGTTCCTCAGCTATAGACAGAAATCTTTAAAGTGAACTAATTGCATCATAAAACATATATGCTGGGACTACTAGGGAGGAGTCATCTCAACTCTCTCCCACACAAGAGGGAGAAACTGCACTGTCTTTTGCTCCTCCTGAATGCATTCCCTTCCTCCTTGAAATCCAGATAATATTCCATCACAGATGGTGATTCTCCAAGAACTAAGGAGCCCTGAACCCAAAGTCACTGTATCTTGCCAGGTTTCAATTTTAACCAGCTGTTCCTTATCCAGACAATCTCCATGCACCAAGAAAGGTTAGTTGCAACATCTCTTAACTCATCATGGGCATGCTGGTGATGAAGGGGAAAGTCATTTCTTTATCTATTTCTTTTCCTTTTTCTTTACTATAGTCTTATTTTTTATTTTCTTTCTATTTTTCTTTTTCCTTTCTGCACCTTCTATTTTTTTTCTCTTCATTCTTTTCTAGATGGTATTACTTTTTATTGTTAGTTGCAATCTTTAACAACATTACTACATTAAAAAAGATGGAGGTTGCAACAATAGGACAAAATCCAGTGTTGTTTACTTCGTTCGCGTGAGAATGATGAAGACATATGGCGATGATGAACAAACGCTTTATTCACCTTCTACAACAACCAAGCAAAAGCAAAAGGCACGCAGGCCTTTTTATATAGCCAGAAACTCGGACAATGTCAACCAATAGGAACAGAGTATTTTCGTGCCTTGCACATGCGCCCAAGGCTGGCGCCACTCTGTCTGGTCCCAGGCAGCTTTTGGAATGCCCGGGACCAACACCCCTCCCCCCTAGATGAAATATACTTCGCGAACATTCATGTACGCCATGCATTGGGAAGAGTGACATATAGTTGCATTATTCAAATGCAAAGAGTGTGGAATACTTGAGTCTGCCCTCAGGCAAACCCTCTACAATATTGATTAATACAATAAATGTATCCAAAATTAAAAAAAAATAATACAAAATAATCTACCACGAGTTGCTCCGTTATTCAGGGGCCTCATGAACAAGTCCCTCATGA